AAGCCACAATACTCTGGACTCCATAGGCAGACAGGTGGAGTCCACCTTTGGGAGGTGGCAATGGGAGCCAGGCTGGTGCAGGACACCCAGCTAGAGCTAAGTAGAAAGACCCGTGTCAAGCACAGATCAGAACAAGAAACCGGTGTTAAGTGGAAGCTGTTGTGTGGTTGTGTGGTGATGCAGGAGCCAGACACGTGTGTGTGTGTGTGTGTGTGTGTGTGTGTGTGTGTGTGTGTGTGTGTTTGAGAGAGAGAGAGAGAGAGAGAGAGAGAGAGAGAGAGAGAGAAAGAGAGAGAGAGATCCCAGCCTGCAGGACGCTTGAGTCTACTCTGAATTCAGGAAGGCCCAAGTCACCAGCCTGCAACCCAACAGAACAATGTGACTTGGCCACTGTGAAGGATGGCCAATTTGGTTATTCTAAGAGAAGTGGATCAGTGGTTTAAAATGGGGTTAACTACCCAGTACTCAAATAGTTGGGCCCCCAGACTGGTTCATGGTGTTTTCATTTAGTTGTTCTCTTGTTTGTCTGTAGACTTTTGGATTTCACCCATGCGGTTGGCTCTGAACTAGTAGAGCTGGACACTTGCTTGCTGGCAGAAGAACCCCTGCAAGAGCTTCATGAAGAACACGGGGAACTCCCTCCAGAGCCCCCAACGCTACAACAGCCTGTAAGCACGACCTCCTTCAGTGGCGTCAGGACAGTTTGAGAGAGGCACAGGGATAGAGAGAAAGTGGGACTGAGTCCCAAGGAGGGGAACGTGGCCTGGCCATGCCCTCTTCCTGCCCTCCAGTTCTCCAGCTGTGCCTCCAATGGCAGAATACCCAAGAGCCCTTTGTCTATGGAGACTGAGAGGTAGATTTCTGGATCTTGCTTCCTGTGATAAACAGCCAGCAAGGGACTAGGTAATAGTGCTTGTCTGAGGGTACCCTGGGTTCAGCCCTGATGCTCAGCACCCCAAGTGGCTAGCACACCACAAGAGGTTTGGTAGAGTCTCCCTAATCTTCCTTAGTGCTTTAGGGGCAAGTGGGGGGATACAGGAAATAAGCAACTTCTGTGAGCTACCGCGCACTCTTCAGTGTTGGAGGTCAGATTCTGAGTCATTAAGCAAATGCTAGTCGTGACTCTTCATTTTCTCCTCTTGTGACTTCTATCTCCTGGTGCACTTTAATAATTTAGAAGATAGTATGCTTCTCTCAAAAGAGCATCGGCTATGGAGAGCCAAGGAGTTCAGGACAGTTTTCCTAGTTGTATGTGTCTACTTTAAGTCACAAAGCTAAGTTTGGGACTCACTTGACTCGGGGTCCTGGATGAGACGCTGTAGGGGCAGCCACCACTGCCAAGGCCCTACCTTATGCTCTTACACTTCTAGCTAGAGTCTGGGGCTCCTTCCAGTCCGGCTCCTCTCTCCTCACCCTGCCCCGTGAGACCTGAGGGCGCCATCGTCTCCCAGGAGTGTCCCAGCCGTGGCTCCCTTTGGGCCACTGCTGTCCTTGGACTGGCCCCATAGTCCCTTGTGCCCAAGGAAGGTTCACAGAGGAACTCCCTTATCTATTTGAGGGAAAGTGAACTTTGGTGATGGTAAAAGATGGAAGGAAGCTCAGACTGCTCTCTGGGGAGAGAGGACATGAAGGCACACGGTTTAAAACAGATCTCGGGATAAGTCAGAAGTCAGAGCACAGTGGCAGCTACTGCTGTTCTGACACAGCGGCTTCTGTGACATTTTCTTTGTGGAAGAACACGCCCGTGTCAGCAGGGTCCTGCTACAGTGGCTGAGGGTCCTCATCCGCCTCTTACAGGAACTCTGCACAGTGGACCCGGCTCCAGGGTTTGTTTCAAGCGCTCACCAGTTTGGCCACACAGAAAACAGCCACTTAGTGTTGCCTTTGAATCAGTCCGATGTCCGAAAGAGGTATGCTTTTTCCTGAGGTCCCTCTGAGATTTTTGTTGTTAGACGATGAGGCAAGTGTGGTGTTGACTTCTGAAACGTGCTCGTACCAGACAGGTTCAGTGCCCACAAGGACCCAGGCAAGGGTCCCATCTGTCAACTCCCATCAGGCTCCCTTGGTCACATACTCTGTATTGTCATAAAGCAAATGAAGGCTTTCCTCTTGGCCTGTGGGGGAGTCTTGCCCATTTCTGACACTCGGGGCTTAACTGAATTATAATCTTTTCAGAGTTCAGTCCACTCTAACAGCTTAGTACAGCCACCCGTGGGCCTCTCAGTGATACAGGACAACTGTGACATGGTCTAGCCTTCCTTTCAGACTTAAGGGACTCCCCGTTGACTGTCATAGAACTGTTCCCATCAGAGTGGCCCTCTGTGCCATGAATGGGCACACAAGTGAATGAACACTCTCTTGAGAAGCTAAATACACATGCTGAAGCAGCAGTGGGTAACACAGGAAGCTGATCTTCCTGATCCCTGGCACTGACTTCCTGTTCTTGCTCAGGCTCCAGGTTCAGCTGAACATTCGGACATTTGCCTCCAGTGGCCTTATTTATTACATGGCAAATCAGAACCAAATGGACTATGCCACACTCCAGCTCCACGAGGGCCGCCTCCACTTCATGTTTGACCTTGGCAAGGGCCGAACCAAGGTCTCCCATCCTACACTGCTCAGTGATGGCAAATGGCACACGGTAAGTTCTCGGGAGGCCCTGTCTCCTGTCCCAAATTTTCTCCCTCCATCTCTGGTACTGATTGCATTTTCTTGGAGGGAAGCTATGCATTTTGATTCCGCGTTGGCCTTATGTTTGACATCACCTCCAAGTGATGTAAGCATCTTGTCAGTAGGGCCCTTTTTTGCTTCCTGAATCCTTCCAGGCACTTGTTCTGAACACTCACTAAGCACTCAGCAGCTGGTTTCGGAATGAATTGAAGGTCTCAAAAATGTGTTTGACTTGACAGGAAGCTAGTAAGGCCCAGCTGTGGCCTGAAAAGACCGAGCCGCTCACTGTGGTGTCTGCTGGTAACCAGGGTTCTGGAGGTTGGCTGTAGTCTTCCCGTTTCTCATAAGCGTCAGCCACATCCTCAGTTCTGGCTGTGCCACAGGCCGAGCCCTCCACAAAACCTGGGCTCTTAAAGATCTAAGAAACACAGACTGTTAAAGTTTTCTCAAATAGTTTACAAGTTCCAGATGTTTTCATCTCGTGCAGGTCAAGACGGAGTACGTTAAAAGAAAGGGCTTCCTGACTGTTGATGGCCAAGAGTCCCCGACTGTGACTGTGGTGGGCAATGCAACGACACTGGATGTGGAAGGGAAGCTGTACCTTGGAGGCCTTCCTGTCCACTACAGGGCCAGGAACATTGGGAACGTAAGCAGCGGCCACCTTGCTGGGGTTGTGTTTTCGTACAAGGCCATCATTCTCTGATGCTTCTGTTTAAGTTATTCTGCCTGAACCTGGGGCTCACTGGAAGGTGCAGACCCTTCAGCGCATGTGCATAGGTCATGTGCTGGGCTTACCCTCAGAGCCATCCTTCCAGCTTTTTCTGCCTTCCAGATAATGAACTTCTCCTTTTCTGAAGACATGCAGTCCCAAAGCAACTCGGGAAAAGTCCAGGCAATTGTATGGTATTTTAGTGAGAAAAGCAGTCTAGATTCCAGGAGTATTTTAGGAAAAAGAGAGAACACACTTCCACTACATTATGACCAAAGTACTGGAGTGAGGGGAGAAAGCGAAACATTCACGTGAGGGATTGCCACAATTACGCTTTAAAAACCAAGATGGAGTAATGTGCGTTATTGAGACAGTTTCAGTGAAGTACAGGAGAAAGATGCCCTGTGTCATCATCGCCACCTCCTCTCCTGTCTCTCTTGGTTTAGACGACCCACAGCATCCCTGCCTGCATTGGGGAAGTGACAGTAAACAGCAAACAGCTGGATAAAGACAGCCCCACGTCTGCCTTTGCAGTGGACAGGTGCTATGCATTGGCCCAAGAAGGAACTTTCTTTGAAGGAAGTGGATATGCAGCTCTTGGTACGTGCTCTTAACAGTCTGGAAGGGATGCCCTGGGTTTAATGACGTCTAGAAGGAGCACCCTGGGTTTAGTGTGTACTCTAAGCTGACGTCTGGAAGGAGCACCCTGGGTTTAGTGTGTACTCTAAGCTGATGTCTGGAAGGAGCACCCTGGGTTTAGTGTGTACTCTCAGCTGACGTCTGGAAGGAGCACCCTGGGTTTAGTGTGTACTCTAAGCTGACGTCTGGAAGGAGCACCCTGGGTTTAGTGTGTACTCTAAGCTGATGTCTGGAAGGAGCACCCTAGGTTTAGTGTGTACTCTCAGCTGATGTCTGGAAGGAGCACCTTGGTTTAGTGTGTACTCTAAGCTGACATCTAGAAGGAGCGTCCTGGGTTTAGTGTGTACTCTAAGCTGATGTCTGGAAGGAGCACCCTAGGTTTAGTGTGTACTCTCAGCTGACGTCTGGAAGGAGCACCCTAGGTTTAGTGTGTACTCTAAGCTGATGTCTTGAAGGAGCACCTGGGTTTAGTGTGTACTCTAAGCTGACATCTAGAAGGAGCGTCTTGGGTTTAGTGTGTACTCTAAGCTGATGTGGATCCAGGAAACACTGAGAGGCTAGGACTCAGCTGGAAAGACTGCCTAAGACCGTGTTTCTTCCATTCAGTGCTCTGATCTCTTTCTAGTGTTTTTCCTGTTTGTGCAGAAGCCTGCACCAGTCTTGTGCCCTGCAGGAGGCCTAACGAGGCCTTCTCCCTGCAGATCTGGACAGTCACGAGCTCCTGGCTTCATCTGCACCTTCCCCAGGTTTATGTAGGGCATGTTCCCTGTCCAAGTTAATAAAGACCTTTGAATTAGAAAGCAGGTGTGTCAGCTGAGCGGTGGCGCACACCTTTAATCCCAGCACTCAGGAGGCAGAGGCAGAACTCTGTGAGTTCGAGGCCAGCCTGGTCTACAGAGTTAGTTCCAGGAGAGCCGTGTCTACACATAGAGAAGCCGTATCTTGAGAAACAAACAAAAAAAGCAGGCGTGTGCATCTGTAATTCCAACATATGCCAGTAGGACATTTATTCTGTCTAGGCTATGATAGCATCACCTTTCCCTTTTTATTCAGCCCCAGGCATGTGACAAATGACTTCTATTGTCAACCCCAGGCATGGTGACAAATGCCTTCTATTGTCAACCCCAGGCATGGTGACAAATGCCTTCTATTGTCAACCCCAGGCATGGTGACAAATGCCTTCTATTAACAATATCCAACTCTTTTTGTCCCTTGAATTAAAGAATAAAATTATTCAATTCCCACTTTGAAAACACCTACTGTAGAGGCTGATTCAAACCAGTAAATGATGCTATCCAAGGTACATACAAATTAAGAAGCTAAAGTCTAAGGGGGATAAATCTACAACACATAGAAAGATCACCAGACTGAAGGCACGAGATGTCCCCAGGGCTGCAGATGACGGAAGTCCCTGCCGGTGCTTGCTCTAATTTGTGACTGGACACCCTCTTCAATGGCAGTGTACCAATGTACCAATGGTTGTGTACATCCGTGATCTCAGCACTCAGGACGCAGAGTCAGGACAGCTTGACTACATAGCAAGACTCCATTAAAACAAACAGAAGCAGGGAAAAAAAAGCAATGCTTCTTCTTACTGGGGAATGGAGGAGCTGAGACCCAGAGGATGGGGTGGGAGTGTAGCATGATCTTGAACTTGGCCAATACCATGAATGCTTAGCCAGCCAAAGGCAGCCTGGAAAGTCCATCTTGTGGGTTCTCTCAGTAACAGTGTGCCGTGTTTTTCAGTCAAGGAAGGCTACAGAGTGCGATTAGATTTAAACATCACCCTGGAGTTCCGCACCTCCTCTAAGAATGGTGTCCTTCTGGGAATCAGCAGTGCCAAAGTGGATGCCATTGGCCTAGAGATTGTAGACGGCAAGGTAGGTGCCCTACCTCCATGCCATAGCTGTTCCTGGTGTTCATTCTCCCTTTCCTCCCCTTTGGGGCCACATGAACATGCGGAGGGGAGTTGGGGTCCCCTCTCTTTCTGTGGGGTGTTAGTTGGGGCCCCTGAAGTTGGTCCTCAGGGGCCCATATACGTTTGACTGTTGGCACAAATGGCCTGAGGTCTCAGTGCTGCCACTGGGTGGTGACACCTCCTAGACCATGTACACTTCAACCCTTGGGGACTAGACTTCCCAAGTGTCTTCGCCAGGGCTGCATCTTCAGCTGGAGCTACCATCCATCCCACTATCTGGCACATGAGAGAAATGGGCATGTATACCGTGCCACACTTAAGCCACAGAAACTATGGACATTGGCGTCTTGGGTTTCCCTCTCCTGGTGAGCTCTGACACCAGTTTTATTATAAGATGCTTCAGTGTTCCCTTTGGAAGGCAACGAAGATGGTGTCCCTCAAATTCACATGCTAAAGCCCTACCTACTCTCACCTCTCAGGATGTGATCTTGTTTAGACTTTAAGGAGGTAATTAGGAGCTAGCGAGATGGCTTCCTGGGCATAAATGCCAGGTGCCAATTCTAACAACCTCAGTTCAACCCCCAGAATCCACAGGATGGTAGGAAAGAACCAATTCCAGCAAGTTGGTCTGTGGTTTCTGCATGTGCTCATGCATGGGCACACAGATACACACAATAAATAAATGTGAATGAAAGGATAACTCGATTAAAGTGAGGTCACTGATGTGAGCTCTGAGCCAATCTGACTGTGTCCACGTAAGTAGGAGGCACCAGAGCACACAGAGAAGTCCAGTGGAACAGAAGTCTCCTTGCAGGCTCCCATGAACCTACTTGCTTGTTTTTAGCATTTCATTTCCAGGTTCTTGGCCCTTAGATTTCCCACAGTGGGAACAATTCATCAATGCTCTGTGCTCCATGGCTTCTTGGTCTTCTGGTTGAGATCTAGTGCAAAGAAGACGGTGGTCTTGAACAGAAAACCTCACCCAAGTGTTTGCTTTCTTCAGGTCTTATTTCACGTCAACAATGGCGCTGGTAGGATAACAGCCACATACGAGCCCAGAGCCTCCAGAACTCTCTGTGACGGGAAATGGCACATGCTCCAAGCCCAGAAAAGCAAACACCGCATTGCCCTGACTGTGGATGGGAATCCTGTTAGGGCTGAAAGTCCTCACACCCATTCCACCTCGGCCGACACTAATGATCCCATTTATGTGGGCGGCTATCCTGGTATGTATGACTCCAGTCTCTTTACCTTATGGGAAGCCCAGTCCCAGGAAGGTAGAACCTCAGAGGAATACAGGCTAGGGATAGAGAGATACACGGTTCAGTGACAAGTCTCACCGTTTTAGAAAAGCTGTTTGGAATATCATACCTAAACATTCTTGGGGAATTTAGCATAACCCTCACACACACATTTCTCATTGAGAACATTGGTTCTGATGGCAAGCAGGTGGGATGATCGTACTTCTTCCCTAGATGGTTCCAAGGTCACAGGGTTAGGCAGGCTTCACCCTCTTGCACCAATTTTGCATTTTGAATTGAGCATTTAAGATGTCCCGAGAAATTACTGCAAATCCTTAACGCCTGTTGCATGATTTTTCAAGTCGCGGCTATGTCTTCAAGTGTTAACAGTTCCGAGGAATTCTGCCATCCGCTAAAGCCACGTGTGTGGGAAATAGCCTAGTTTGATAGAAGATCCACTTAGATAATTTTTTGTTCCTAATGTACAACTTACCCTATCAACAAAATTGAGCAAGGCTTATGTCTTGTTTTCTCAACAGCCCACGTCAAGCAGAACTGTCTGACCAGCCAGACCTCGTTCCGGGGCTGTGTGAGGAATCTGAAGCTGAGCAGGGGAACACAAGTGCAGGCCTTGGACTTGAGCAGGGCCTTTGACATACAAGGAGTCTTCCCTCATTCCTGCCCTGGGCCTGAGTCCTGAACTGCTGCCAGAACCCTCCTTTGGGATCATTGCTAACATGCTGAGGAGAAACAAGTTGGTGAACTCAAGTGTCTTCTCTTCAGGTTTCCTTTCCAACTCAGGTTATGTTTCCAGAGAAAAATGCTGTATTTATGTTGAACTAAAGCCACATGTACAACAGATACCTCTATTAAATAGTCCAAAATGTCAGTTGAATTCATGGTCTCCTTTTTCAGGTTGTCCAAATGGATCTTTGTGGACATGGTGCATTCTGCTGAAGACTTGACAGTGTTCCCTGGGGGGTGGCAGATCACAGTATTAGATTAGAGCAGAATATGGATAGTTTCATTTCTTCTCTCTTTGCTTTTAACCTTCATACATTGTACTCACTGGGTAGCAATTAGGACACAGTCTAGTTGGTTTCCTACCAAAACAGAAACATTGTCAAGGCCTCTCGGTAGGTAGGATCCAGAGTCTGAGACATGTGATGGCCCACGGTTGGGATAGAACTTAATGCCTCTCCTCACATGCAGCCAGGGAAAGAAGATCAAGTTTTCAAAGAGAGTGAAATCAATAAGTGCCATCCTCAGGAAAGAATTTATCAGACAAAACTTTCACTCCTTTATGATTAGTCACATACATCTTTACATGGCCCAGTCTGGCCTTGAGCACACTTCCCGAGTCAGCTTCTCACATCTGATTCTCAAAGTTTGCCTCCATGCCCAGCTCAAGGACTTTAAAGTAGCTATTATTTCATCTCAGCAATATGAGGACAAGGAAATATTTGCGTGTTTTGGTGTATGAAGTGGCAGAAATTTTAACAAAAAATTGGGAAATATGAGAGAGATTGAAATGGAAGTTATTTATGTTATTTTTTATTATTATTCTTTTACTTTTTAGGCCAGGGTCTACTATATAGCCCTAGATGTCCTAGAACTCACTATGTAGAGCAATCTGGGATCCAACTCAGAGATCCTCCCACCTCTGCTTCATGAATACTGTGAGTAAAGGTCTGTGCCATCATTCCTGGACAAAAACAAACATCTAATAATTCAAGAGTCATATTTAAACATAGTAAAGATAAATGTTGCAAACCCATAGGTAACAGTTTGCTAAGCACTGAGAAGATGGCATCACTCCTTTGATTTGGAAGAGCCAACTGTGTCTACTCTCAATATTTCTCTTCTTTTTATTTATTCTTTGTGTCTTTCACATCATGCATCTCCATTCCATTCATTTCCCCATCCCTTCATATCCACCCTCTGCCCTTACAACCTCCTCCTCCCCAGAATAAAATAATATAAAATTTAGGAGAAAAAAGAAAAGAGAAGGAAAAGAATCAATTTAGTCACAGAAGCTATAATGTGATGTTGTAGGAGGCCACTTGTTTGTTTCTGTCTGCTCAGTCCCAAAATAACCACACAGAAACCATATTGAAATAATGAATATTATTGAATAATTGGAAATCAGTACTGTTTGGCCAATAGCTTAAGCATATTTCTGACTAGCTCATATCTTAAATTAATTCATCTCCATTAATCTATGTATTGCCCCAACGCTGTGGCTTACCAGGTAATGTCTGGCATGTCTGTTTCCTAAGGGGCTTCATAGCTTTTCCCTGACTCCTCCTTCTTTCTCCCAGCATTCAGTTTAGTATTCCCTGCCTAATTCCACTCTGCCCTATCAACAGGCCAAGGCAGTTTTCTTTATTCATTAACCAATAAAAGCAACACATATATAGGACCTCCCACACCAATGTGATGTAGTGAGCGATGCAGTAGACCCTTTTATTCATATATTTTCACTTGCAAGTGTTCATTGCAAAGAGTCATTGGTCTGGTTCAAGGCCTCTGGTTTCTGCTACACTCTTGATGCTGGGCTGGCCATCACTGGAACTCCTCATTGTTAATCCTGCTGTTGTTCTGTGTTGTGGAAATCCTGTAGCTTTGGATCTGCAGGACCCATTCCTTCACGCGCTCCAACAGATCCCAGATAGGGTAGATGATGGCATGGGCCTGGGTAGTTGCGGATTCCCCTAAACAACAACCAAGGCAATTCTGAGGGACAGAGATGGTCTCGTTGTCCTGACTGGAACTGGAGGGGCATAGGACATGTGGCTACCTTCTGACAAATCTGCAGAGTCCTTCCCTCAGGCTCCTCAGATGTGGAAGACTGAGGATTGGAATAATGATGAAGTATATAGTAAGCAAGCAGTGTCCTTTGACAGCATGCCCCTGGAATACCACTGTGGAGAAGCCTCTGGCACAGCAAATGTCTCCTCTAGACTGGGCATGCAGGGCACACAGGGATTGGGTATCCGGCTCGTCCTCCCCATGTTGGCCTCAACACTGTGATGTCAGGCCTCACAGAACTCAGTACATTCTGTCTAGGTGAACTGTATGGTGACATTGAATTGGTCACTTTGTGCTTTGAGCATTTGTCACTTTGCCAGGCACTGGATCTGTAAGCAGAGTCTTCCAATCTGGACAACTGTTCCCAGTGGACAACAGCTCCACATCCCCCATCCCAGTACTGATCACAGTCTTGCTGCCTACTCCAGCCATCCTCTTCAGAGATGGGTGTCCAGGCTGGCACTAGTGCGCTTGAGCTCAGTGGCCAGCATCCTACAGTTTGTCACTTCATGTTCCTACAAGTGGTGGCCTGGCCTGGGGCAGATTCTCACGGCACAACTAATAGTCAATACTGGTCCCATCAAGGCTGAATACCACCTGAAGGGCAGCACCAGGGCTTGCTGCTATAATAGCATGTCCCCATGTCTTTCTCTACACATATGTGTCAGCCGGTATGTCTTTTTGTTGGAATCTTGTGATTTGAAAGGTGTCATTGAGATTCAGCAACCATCCTGTCTACATCCTAGCTCTTTATTCAATTGTGGGTATTTTTTAATGGCGTATTATATATCCGTTAAAGTTCTTTTCCACACCCATTTAGAAAAATAATGGCCTTCATTAAGGTTATGTATCGGTGTACATGCTTTTGCACGCACCATTTTCTTTCCTTTTCTGCCTGTTCTGGTCACTCCTCCTGACCCCTTTGTGTGGGTTTCCTTCCATCCTCAAATATTTCCTCAGCCTGAATTTACATCTTATGTATTTCATACTATGCCTCCTGTGTCTTGTCCACAAGAGTTCTTCTCTTCTCCTCTCACACTGGCCCACTCTTGCTTTCATGTCCCAAGCCTAGCCACATCCACACAAACACATGTGCTCACAGTCAAACACAAAGGCTCACTCAGTCATGCTCACACACACGCGCGTAGACACGTACACACACACACACACACACACACTCACACACTCACCCAGAAAGACATGGAATACAGAAACAAGCATCTTGCTTCAGCTTATTACAGAAAATCGGACACTTGTCTCTGAGCCTGGTTTATTTAGTTCACTTTAGCACAGTGATCTCAGGTAGACCTATTCCTGCTTATCTCATTTTCCTCTGCAGTTACCCATGTCCCAATGTTCCAGATTTCTTGTCCCCGTTCATGTGTTGGCGAACATCTTGGCTGTTCCTTTTTTGAGCTATTGTGAACCTGGCTATGTAAGCATCCCTGTCGTCCATTGATGGGTTAGACAGCAATCCTAGTTTAGTTTCTCTGAGGAACTCAGTGCTGGCAGTCAAGGAGGCTGCCCCTAGGTTCAGTTCCCACTAGCAGTGTGTAAGCATCCATGTTCTCCACACCTTGCCCGGCACGGCACCTGTTGGCCTTGCTTTCCTAGGTACTAGCCATTGTAACCAGGGTGAGAGGTGACTTCCAAACACTTTTTATCCCCTATCATGGATAATGAGTATGGTGAACACTTGTTCGAGTTTGTCTTTCTTCCTCTGAGGACCATCTCCTCAGTTCACTGTCCTGTTCATGGATTGGATGAAGTGGTTTCTGCTGTGTCATTTACAGCTTTCCATGTGTTAGAAGTGTCAATCAGATCTAGAGCTGATGACTTTCTGTTTTTTTGCCTGTTCTGCAGGTGTCCCTTTACAGTGGCCACTTTCCCTTTGTTTGTTTTCAGTTTCACATAAGCCCGCTTGTGAATTCCTGACACTATTTCCTAGATTATGTGGTAAAGTGTGCTCTGATTTCCTGTAGCACTTCAGGTCTTATCTTTGTGGCTTTGATGCATTCAGAACGATCCAGATGTGGGGTCATGAGGAGTTCACTCTCTTACATGCTGATTTTCCGTTTTCCCTACAACATTTTTTGAGAAAGCTGTTCCTTTACCTATAGTTTTCCTTCATCAACTAGATATATTCAGGTGAGTCGTGACATGTGGACTTATTTTCAGTCCTCCATTTGATTCCAGTGACAAGTCTTGTTTCTGTAGATGTGTGGTATTGGCATAGTTCCAGCACCATGTTTTTTCTTCCTCCTCTTCGTCTTCCTTCTTTCTTCACTCTACACCTCTTCCTCTGCTCCTCTTCATCTCTTTCTTTTTTTTTTTTTTTTGAGGCAGGGTCTAAATGTGTAGCTCTGACTGTCAAGAAACTCACATTGGAGACCAGGCTGTCCTCACACTCAAGGGTGTGCCGCCTGCTCTGCCTCTCAAGTGCTGGGATGAGTGGCACACATTTCCTCTCCGTCGTTAGGCTTATTTGTAGTATTTCCTCTGAAGAGATTTTGTGTAGGATTGGATTTCCTGGTTGCTTTCTCAACAAATCTAAAATCGGTTTGTAGAATCAAAATGGTATTCGGATTAGACATATAAATACATTCTATAATGATAAAAATGTAAACACTGCATTATGCCAGAAATGGAATAATTTCTGCAGTAGCTTTGGCCTGAGGATTTTTCTTGGATCTGTTGAAAATTGGCATTGTGTCCATTCAGGTTTAATAATGTACTACTTGGGACATGGCCATCTGCCAGACTAGCATCCTTGAAACAGCAAGAGTGGCCCAGATGTAGGGTTATGTGAATGGTGATGGAAAGTGACTGTAAATGCTATATATGTTCTATCACAGTTTATTAATGATGACTAAACATATGACCTCAGACACACAAGACAAAGTTAAATACATGTCTAGGGACCAAAATGATATGATCTATGTTTTAGAACTCTCAACTGAGTTGTATATAAATAAATAAGTTAGATATACATAAAAAGCACCCTGATTTCTAGCCAATCAGGCTTCGAGATTTTCCAACCATCAATGGTCTGATTCAATTCTTACATCGCCTTTTCCTTGTCTGTTCTCTGAAACCCGTCAATTGCTTGGGTTGGCCCCTGGCAGTTGTCTTTATTGTGGGAAACCAGAGGGAGGGCTCTAGGATGCTCTCAGTCTCCTTGTTCATCTACCATACCATACCATAGATGCCTGGACTCCATTGAGTGGACACACATACAAAACACATGTATGTACATCCAAACACACACACACACACACACACACACACACACACACACACACACCTAAACCCTTGAGCCTAATCTCCAGTGTCTTGGAGAAACCAGCCTCTGTCTACCAATCCTATTCCTGATGCTTCCCCGGGACACATACAGGGGGCGCTGTGACTGTCCTCATTGAATAGGCTGGCATTCTAGGACATCTTTCCGCCTCTGCTGAGCTCTGCAGTCTGTCCCAGGGCCATGACCAAGAGCTAGGACTAATGGGCTTTTCTCTACTCCTGTGATGTCAGAAGGGTCATGATTCTCAGGACTGCGTCCATGGCAGGAAGGAAATAGCTCCATTAAGAGGATTTCCTTGCTTTTGAGTCTTCTGGCATTCCTAGTATTGAGTCTTCCTCCTCTCTAAAATGATCATGCTGCATGCTTAGTATCTCATTATTATATATTTGAGGGCCAAATGAGAAAAGCACTAACCAGCTGTAGTGGGCCAGTTGCCTCCGTTTAGGGCATTGGAGAACCGCAAGCTCATGCGCAGACAATCGCACACAGACACAGCAGTCTAGGAGGCAATTCATCTCAAGATGTGAGCACCTTCCTTTGTCCACCTCAAGTGTAGATCTATGTAAGGGTCTGCAGCAGACTTGCCTCCTGGTCAGTACAAGGAGAGGGAGGGAAAATCGGTAGAAATGTGTGTGGTCTCAAAGGGTGAGGTTCTGTCCACAGTTAGGGAGGCTTTGGTGATCCCTTTGTGACTTGGAAAAGGGAAAGGAAGAAGGACGAGAGCACATCTCCAGCTTTGATGGGGACATCTGGGACTTACTTTTCTTCTTGCTATGAGAAGACACCTAAGAAAAGCAACCCAAGAAGGAGGGTATGCTCTGGCTCAGACTTTGTTGCCACAGTACATCATGGTGGGGAAAGCAGGTCAAAGGAGAGAGAGCAACTGGTCACAGTGTGTGTCCACAGGAGTCCCTGTCAGCTGACTGCTGAGGTTCCGGTGAGAGCAACTGGTCACAATGTGTGTCCACAGGAGTCCCTGTCAGCTGACTGCTGAGGTTCCGGTGAGAGCAACTGGTCACACACTGAGTCACAGTCAGGAGTCCCAGACAGCTGACTGTTGAGGTTCCAATAGTTTTCTCAGATTTTCACAACTGGTCACACTATGTCCACAGTCAGGAGTCCCAGACAGCTGACTGCTGAGGTTCCAGTGACAACAACTGGTCACAGTCAGGAGTTCCAGACAGCTGTCTGCTGAGGTTCCAGGAGTTTTCTCGGATTTTCACTGCTGGCGATGCAGCCTGAAGAACTGTTCCACACATAATCTTCAGGGCGGGTCTTACTAACTCAGAGACACTTCTTTCAGAAACACCCTCAGATATGTGCCCCAGATATCTGCCTCTTAAGCAAACCTAGAGCCTGTCATAGTACCCAGAGCAGGTTCAGGTCTGGGAATCCAAGGTACACTTAAAGGGAAGAAAAAAATTTCACAAAAATCACTTCAGGCCAAGAAACAGGAGGGCTTAACAAGGGGAGGGGAGGGCACAGAAGGATGATCTGGAAAAAAACTGTGGACTCAAGCTGAGTGAGCTCCTGCCCGGGAAGATGTTGCTGACAGACACACTGTGGACTCAAGCTGAGTGAGCTCCTGCCCGGGAAGATGTTGCTGACAGACACACTGTGGATGATAAATACATCTTGATCCTGGAGCCACCAACTCAATAGTCCCTGCCACTTCTCAGTATGCAGAGCAGGAAGGAAGAAGTCTCTGACAGAGAGGGCAGGAGTACTGGTTGGCTCTGCCAACTTCACACAAATGAGTCACAGGGGAGGGGAAACTCAATAAGAAATTGGCTCCATCACTTCATCCTGTGATCATTCCGTGGACCACTTCCTTCATCACTGATGACGCTCTAGCTCTACCAGCCCACTGTGGGGGGGAGGGGCAGCCCTGGGCAGTGGTCCTGTTTCATATGAGAAAGCAAGCTGAGCAAGCTAACTTTACCCCAGGGCTCTTGCCTCTGCTCCTGCTTGAGTCCTTACCCTGACTTTCCTCGGTGATGGGCTTTGATTGGGATATACAAGCTAAATAAACCCCTTCCTCCCTAAGATGCTGTTGGTCATGGTGTGGGACAACAAGCACATGAATGCTGGCCCCACTGCCATGGAGTGCCCTAGTCCCTTCCTTCAGGAGGAGGAGGTGTGCTCACGATTGGGAAGATGAGTCGGAACAGAGTAGACGTTTTACTTTGGTCTCTCGGTTCCCACCACTCCTTATGAACTAGTTTATGTTTGTCTCAAAGACAGCAAGAGATTAAAATCTGGTTCAGAGGCAAGATCCAAAATAGAGACTCTCAGGAACTATGAGACAGGATTGACTGGAGATGGCTCGAGAAGCAGATGAGAGGGGGCAATCGTGCTCTAGAAGCTGCCCTGATCGTCCCTGGTCACTGGTCAGAAGGCCAATCAACACTCAGGATCACAAGAGAGAAATCAGATCTCCTATCTATAAGGAGCTGAGTCACCACAGTGGTTGCCCAGGACGCCATGAGGTGAACAGGCACAATAACAGCCTAGAGTCCTCTTCTTCCAACTACCACTGCTTCCTAAAGAAGAAAGCAACTTCAAGCCCAAGAGACCCCAGGGGGCTCCCTTCTACTTTCTGGGCATTCACACTTAAAGTGCCCTGTTCCATCACACCAGAAGCAAGCCCCTGGACCAGGACCGGGACTAACAGGTTCAGGATAGAGAGTGACCAAGAGCTCCCCATACCCATGCCCTTTATTCCCCTGGCCCCAAGAATGGAAGACTGTAAACATGGCTTTGACAGAATCTCCTAAGGACTTTGTCTCTTTGTAGGATACCTGTTCAAACTGTATCCCATCCTTAAAGGGCCAGACACAGTTTGAGGTCCTTAGGATACAGCTATAAAGGTCACTGCCACTGTGCTGGCTGGAATCTCTCAACGAGTAAGCATCAGTCTCTTTGATCCACTGAAGCCGAAGCTGGGGGACGCTAGTTGCCTTTTCCTAAGTAGGGGAAAGCTGCCTGTGGTCAGACAGGGAGACAGTCACTGCAGGCTACAGCCTGCTGCTATTGGTCCATTTCTTGCTCTGACCTCACAAACAGTCACTGAGATGGAAGAATGAGAGGCCTGCATAGAAGGCTGTAGCCTGGGCTGCATTTCTGTCCAGAGACCAGGGAGCTGGTTCTGTGACCTGTGGGACTCCTTCATTCGTGTCTTAATTGGAGCTGTCTATTTGATCTCCGGCACAACCTTTCTGGACAGGAGGCCAGTAAACACCAAGCCTCATGCCCTGCTTCCCCCAAAAGGGGAGCCTAAACAAGCAGTACAAAATACTGTACACCATCGGCCAGGGTGGATTTGGCTGTGTACAACTGGCCCTCCATCGCCTCACAGGCATGCCCGTCGCAATTAAAGTTGTAGAAAATGTGACGAAACACCTGCGCCTCGTTCTATCAGAGATAGCGGTACTGGAAACCATGCGACATCCACACATCATCCGCCTCTTCCAGGTTTTAACGACCACAAAATACTGCTATATAATAACAGAGTATGTGCCGGGAGGCAATCTGTACCAACTGGTTAAGGAAGAAGGCAGGCTGCCGGAGGAACAGGCACAGGTAATATTTGGGCAGCTAGTGTCAGCCCTAAGGTGCTGCCATGACCATGACATCGTCCACCGAGACCTGAAGCCCCCAAACATCCTGCTAGATGCACAGAGAAATGTCAAGCTGGGAGACTTTGGCCTTGCTACCAGGTGCAGAGCTGGCACTGTGCTGTATGGGCGCTGTGGAACCAAGAGTTGTAATGCCCCAGAAATGGTTCTGAGGGAGGGCTACGATGGGAAGAAGGCAGACGTGTGGAGTCTGGGTGTGCTGCTGTACTTTATGACAACTGGGCACCACCCCTTCAGAGGAAGCACCCTGGAAGAGACCGAGAAAAAGATCACTATTGGCATGTATAACATCCCAGCTCACATCTCTGGGCAACTTGAAAATCTCATTCACCAAATCTTAACAGTTGCCCCAGAGAGGAGGCCCTCCACTGAAGATATTCAGCACCATCCATGGGTCAAGAACCCTGAAGAAAACATCTTTAGTGACCCCTACCCAGATCCTAAAATTGTTGACAAGCTGTTTGACCATGGGTTTGCTGCCAATGAGATCTTTGACTCACTGCAGAAGCGGAAATACGATGAGATAATGGGGACATACCTGTTACTACAAGAACAGGAACACCAGGGGCTTGACTCCACCTCCTCATTCACTACGGCAGACCCTGGCCCTGCACCTCCACCATCTCCAGTCTCTTCTTTAACATCTGGTCGTTACCTAAAAAGAGGAGCCAGTGAGCCCACCTTTGGCCTTTTCCACACACAACCTTCACAACAGCACCTGCCTGATGTCCTGACACTATCAGGGCAGAAGATAAACCAGAGTGCCTCCATGCCTCTATGGTGTTCCCAGAAGAAAAGCCCCACTTCGAGCCATGCCCCACCGACCAAGGCCGCATTTGCCCCATGTGTCTACCGCAGCAGGGTAGAAGAAGAAATGCCCCTGCCACCTGGACCTGACTCTAACATGGAAAAATCATGCCTCCCTCAGAACATCGAGTGCTTCAGCGGACTGTGCAGGAGAATCAGAGTTTGCCTGTCAAGATTGTGTTACTTCCCACGAGCTTCAAATCCACAAACCAGGCGTGTGTTCAACACCAAAGTGGCTCCTCTGGAAGAGTCAGGAGGCAGACGCAGTGAGGAATAGAGTGAGTACGTAAGAGATGATGCATGTGTTAGAGTCAGGAGGCAGACGCAGTGAGGAGTAGGGAAGTACGTAAGAGATGATGCATGCGTGTTAGAGTCAGGAGGCAGACGCAGTGAGGAGTAGGGAAGTACGTAAGAGATGATGCATGCGTGTTAGAGTCAGGAGGCAGACGCAGTGAGGAGTAGAGTGAGTACGTAAGAGATGATGCATGTGTTAGAGTCAGGAGGCAGACGCAGTGAGGAGTAGGGAAGTACGTAAGAGATGATGCATGTGTTAGAGTCAGGAGGCAGACGCAGTGAGGAGTAGAGTGAGTACGTAGAGATGATGCATGCGTGTTAGAGTCAGGAGGCAGACGCAGTGAGGAGTAGGGTGAGTACGTAAGAGATGATGCATGTGTGTTAGAGTCAGGAGGCAGATGCAGTGAGGAGTAGGGTGAGTACGTAAGAGATGATGCATGTGTGTTAGAGTCAGGAGGCAGACGCAGTGAGGAGTAGGCGAGTACGTAAGAGATGATGCATGCGTGTTAGAGTCAGGAGGCAGACACAGTGAGGAGTAGGGAAGGACGTAAGAGATGATGCATGTGTTAGAGTCAGGAGGCAGACGCAGTGAGGAATAGAGTGAGTACGTAAAAGATGATGCATACGTGTTAGAGTCAGGAGGCAGACGCAGTGAGGAGTAGAGTGAGTACGTAAGAGATGATGCATATGTATTTTATATTTCATTTTGACCATGTATTTTTCATTTGAAAATCAAAAATGTGTGTGTTTGTCGTATCCAAAAGGTTGTTCAGATGTCTACATAATTTGGATGGAAACCTGGAACTTAGCATACTTCCTCAGGAAGAAATCCTCCAGGAACATACCTAGGTGGTATCCGATGCAGCTGGACTAGCAGTGTCAAGGCCAACATGGGGAGGACGAGCTGGATACCCAGTTCCTGTGTGCCCTGCATATGTGTCTAGAGCAGATGTTTGCAGGACCAGAGGCCTCTCCACAGCAGCATTCCAGGAGCATGCCCTCAAGAGACAGAGTGGGGAGCCAAGCTCAAAGAAGATATTGTTGGACGAAGAAAACCATCAGACATCTGTCACCTGTTATCCCTGGGTTGTCAGTGTGATGATCTGGAACATCTATGTTCATTTGCATTATGCTGATTGTGACTTACACTTCCAGGTTACACTGAGTTATCACAATGATGTCAAAGCACAGGTACAAAGTGGCTACTCATCCCATATCCACAGTCAAGAGCAGAGAGAAATAAATGCATGCATTTAAGCTTGCTTGCACTCCACTAGAGGTACCCCCTCCTATGCAGTCTAGTACTGAAGCCTACAGAAAGGCACTGCCCTAAAGAGTTGCGTCTCTCCATATCAGTGAAGATAATCAAATACCTCCTCTACAGGCATGCTCACAGGTGAACCTTTTCTAGATGATTCCTCAGTGTAGACTGGAGTCCCAGGTCACTCTTAGCTGCACCATTGCTCCCAGTGAACACCACAGCTCCCAGCACTGAAATCTCTCAGTTCCATGGCCAGAGACTTCGGCCTCTTGGCTTTCCCTGGTTCAAAGGAGACATCCAGTAGCATGTCCTCTCTTCTACTCTCCTCTCCCCCAGAATAACTGACTTTGTCTGTAGTCAGCAGACATCACCGTGCTGTCCCCACTGTGTCCAGGCCCAATGCTTCCTAGACTTAGATTATTTCCCACCAGACCGTGCTGCCTTCGGGTCAACCCTTTCTTCTCTTTCCAGCTCTGTATGGCTCTTGTCAAGTTGTGACGCCCATCTTTCCTGAACTGTTAGTGACTCCAGTCCACATTCCTACTACTAGCCTGTGCTAGTGTGGACTTGGCAGAGTCAGTCAATATCAGCTCCATTTTGGTATGTATGTTGCCTACAAACCTTAGCCTATTTCAGAAAGATGGGTGAGCTCTGAGAGCCCAGGTCACCTTGCCAGACTCTTAAAATCATCTACAGTGCCTCACTTATTTCTCTGTCTCCCCCTCTGTCTGTCTGTCTCTGGTGTTCACCTGTCTGTGTGAGCAGCACCAGTGTGTGCTCTTTAGCATGTGGAGGTTGCAGGATAACCGTATAAACTCATTCTCCCCAACTGCTCTGTAGACTCAACTCTGTTGCTTCTTCCTCCAAATGTTTTTGCAGGTGGAAACCCTGATGGACATGAAGCAATGCCAGCACTTGCTGGAGAAGTCAGGGATGGCTCTGAGGAGTGGGAGTCCTGGCCTTGGCCCACACATGTTTTACTGTCCTTCCCTGATGCCAGTCAGGACAACGAGACCATCTCTGTCCCTCAGAGTTGACTTGGTTGTTGTTTTGGGGAACCCTCAACCTCTCACCTTACTTCTCTGACTTTAGACTTACTGAATCTTAGTGTCCTGGTCCACATACCCTTTTCTTTACTAGAACTTTCTCTGGCTGTAACTGTAAGTATGTACCATTTTAGAACGCTGCTACTCACATTAGCATACTCAGAGCCCTTGGCCAAGGAAGCTCTTGCTTACATGTGAGGAGAGCAAGCCAGGAACTTTAATCCTTCCTCAGGGACGAGAATAACCTAAAGCTCAGAGCATGACTTTGCCACGGTGTGGTCCCTGAGCCAGGAAGCTCCTGACTCCACTGTCCAAGCTTCTTGGTTTATTCTGTGTTGGGACCTTTTCCACTCCTTACTTGGCAGCGTCAACCAACGCTTCAACAAAAACTGCAGTCCAGATAAGCGGGGCAGGGTTTCCAGTAGGATCTTGATTCATCTTGGTTCTCTTGGCTTCCATTCCTGCATTCACCAATATATACATGACATTACTCCATAGGTCTCGTCTGTTCCTATGCCCTGCACGCAGTGAGGAGTTTCGAAACAAGTATAAAATAAGGAAATACAGGGTCTGGAATCTATGAGAAAGCCTGAATCAGACCTGTGAGGCCCCCGGAAAATAACAACCTGTTCAGGTTCTAAGACCCTGTGAAGAGATGAAGACAAGGTAGAAAGGGGGCTCACCGCAGGAAGTGTGTCAGAGGTCTACCCACTGCTTTGTGCAAATTTTCATTTAAATGGAACACTAACAAATTCCCCTCATTACTGTCTTCTGGAAGACAGGTCAAGATGCTGATGTAAGGACTGGTGGTATGAGCACTCAGATATTCACTCTAAAATGGAAAGCAAAGCCATGGATTGCCCATCCAATGGACTTTTCTCAGGAGATCACCAAGGACATCATTTTAGGTATATGTAGATGGCCAAATTCGAGGCCCATAGGTTCTGATGCTAATGCACTGCAGCTCTGAACAGCTGTGTGGGGAGAGGGCTGAGAGTGATGCTCAGGCCTGTAGCAGGTGCCTGGTTTAAGTGAGGCCCTGATTTCTGTTCTCTGGAGTCACTCTGGAAAAATGTCTATTTTCTGAAAAAAGGAAGTTCTCAAGCAATGTCAGGTCTCAGGAATGTAGAAGCTTTAGTTTGCACCAAAATTCTGCACTTTCCTGAACAGAAACTGAGGAGGGGTTGATTGTGAGTGGAGATGGGATGAAGGGAAGGGAAAATGTAGCCCTGATGTAAAATTAATTTTGAACTGCATCTAAAAATACCCTAAAAGAAGTATCCGACAATATCCTTCTGATTAAGGTTGCTTTGAGGGGATGTTGAGAAACTCTGCATATACCTAAGCAGAAGGAGAGACCCCAGTTTCTCATCAGACCTCTCTGCTTCCCTTCTGCAGCCTTTCCAGGGCCCACTTTGCGATTGTGATCCCAGGTCCACTGGTTAGAGCTAGGAGGTGGGAAATGGCTGCGTATACACAACCCCAACCCTATGCCGGAGCTGTCATTTAGTATGGTCACCATGGTCTTTTCTCCTCTAGTGCCATCCAGTTGTGGCATAGACATCCTGCTAGAATCAAAGGACAATGCTTCTAAACTCTCACTACTGGAAGGACAGGGTACTTAGTGTGTTCTGGGCTGCCGGGAAAGGGGCAGTGGTGCAAGGAAGAAATCTGATCAACAGGTGGATTGCACTCAAGAACACAGCCCCCATTACACATACCTATTTCATTGTTCTCACTGCCAGCACCTTGGCTTATGGTCCAGACTTCAGTCACCTTTCAGACATCTCGCCCTCGTGTAATACATCAGACAGTCGCCACGTCCAGTGTCCCACTCAATACAGCTCTAAGGTGACTCAGCTCTCACTACACAGCTAGGGTGGGAAGCTTTCCTTTGTAGCCTTGCAGCCATTCTTGGTCTCTTCCGTACACTTTCCTGGTACACTCAGACCTAGGGAATGTTATCCCAGGATTCCCTCCCCTTGTCAAGTCCTCACAGCGTCCAGCACGATGTCCTCTGCATTTTCAGGTGAGCCTATGCACCAACTCCGCCCATCAAATAGAGCAGCTAAATCTCACTGCGATTGTTTTCTGAACTGGCCCATGGCTCACCTCTGTGCTGCTCAGGAGGTTTAATGCATCTCTCAATTTTCCAGGGTCCCCTTGGTGAGATGACACTCGGAAGGGGAGCAGAGGTGGAAGGTCCTCTCTTGAGCATCCTAAGGGAGCTTAGCTGCTGACGCACAC